GGGAGGCAGAGTCACAAGGAGAGGGCCTGCACTGGGTCTGAAGTATGAGCAGATGGGTTAGAAAAGCAGGAATGGTGAGCAGGGGCCCGTGGAGGTGGCAGGTCTAAGAATGGCTTTGATGGAGCCAAGAGACCAGGAGAGAATTTTGCTCTTTTTCTGTCCTGAGATGGTCCTTAGGATCTAGGGTGAGTATGAGCAGTTGGCTGGTCAGTTCTAGCCAGAGTCCCTTTTTTGTTGCTGTTGTTGTAGATGAACAGCATGCCTTTACTTTATTTTAATGTGGTACCGAGAATTGAACCCAGTGCCTCACACATGCGAGGCAAGGGCTCTGTCACTGAGCTACAGCCCCAGCCCCCAGAGTCCTTTCTGATATGGGATCTGCTCAGAGGCTGGCAGCCAGGAGGGGTGCCACTGCCCTCCTTTGACTTTTCTGTGGTAATGCAAACTCTTCCAGGTGCTGAAACAGGGTCCCCTCAGAAACTAAAAGACAAGGTGGTAAACTTAAACTTCCTGTTGCATTACTTATTACCTGTGAAACAATAAGCACTTTATTTAACCTTCAGCTTCCCATTCTATAAAACACAAATAATGATACTATCCTAATTTTCTCACTTTGAGAAGATCAAGTAAACAATAGCAGGGCGTGATAGCACACACCTGTAATCTTAGTGACTCAGGAGTCTGAGGCAAGAGGACCAAAAGTTGAGGCCAGTCTCAACAACTTGGTGATACCCTAAACAACTTAGTAAAACCTGTCTCAAAATAAAAAGGGCTGGGAAAGCTTGGCATGGTGGTGCACGACTGTAATCCCAGCTGGTTTGGAGGCTACAGCAGGAGGATTGTGAGTTCAAAGCCAGCCTCAGCAACTTAGTGAGGCCCTAAGCAACTTAGTGAGACCCCGTGTCAAGATCAGACATAAAAAGGGCTGGGAATGTGACTCAGAGGTAAAGCACCCCTGGGTTCAGTTCCCAGTACAAACAAAAAGATTAAATAATAAGTAATGGGCTCAGGCCAGTGTTCGGTGCATCACGGGCCATCCACTGGTCCTTCCTGTCTTCTACTTCAGCCCTGACATTTCTTCCTTTTTTTATCACACACTTCTTTCCTTTCCTGTCCTGAACTTCCTGGTTACCTCTTGGGTGGGAGAAGGTCAGGGATTTGGGGATAGGACATTTCCTAGATGGAAGAAGGAAGCACATTGTTAAATCCTGCAAAGGAGAAAACTGTGTTGAACAGATTTTGTCCTATAGATTCCCTGCTTGCTCCTCTGAGACCCGCCCGGGTAGGTGTGGTCACCCCTGAGGTCCCTCTCTGATGCTCTGAAGACAACTCTTGCCTTCCCTTTCTTGTCCTGTTGGTCCAGGAGCCTCCCTGGGCAGGAGAGGGTGGGAAGATGGTCATCAGCTTAGCTTATGCCGCCATGGTGCAGCCTGAGCTGGGTCAGCTCTGGCCCTTGCCGGCCTTCACAAGCCAGCCTGTTTTTTCCTGATGGGCATTGTTTCTTTTATAGGTCCTTGTACAAGCCATCAAGGAGGCAAAGGAACAGCACCCAGACATGTCTGTGACCAAGGTGGTTGTCCATCAGGAGACTGAGATCGCTGAGGACTGAGCTCAGGTAATAGGTGTTCCTGTTGGGGTTGAAGATGCCACTGTCCCAGCCTGAGAGCTCTGGCAGGAACTCTGGAACCCACTCTGGGAACCCATCACTCCAGAGGGTGTCCACACTAGGACTTGATAAAGGAAAGGCAGAGGAGATGGTGAATTATTTTACTTTAACCAAAGCAGGCTGCTGGGGCTGAGGTTGTAGCTCAGTGGTGGAGTGCTTGCCTACCATGTGTGAAGCACTGGGGTTGAGCCTCAGCACCACATATAACTACATACATACATACATACATACATACATACATACATTCACACATTCACACATAAATATATTGTGTCTGTCTCCAACTAAAAAAAGTAAAAATTAAAAAAAAAAATTCATGGGCTGGGGATGTGGCTCAAGCGGTAGCTCACTCGCCTGGCATGCGTACCGCCCAGGTTCGATCCTCAGCACCACATACAAACAAAGATGTTGTGTCCGCCAAATACTAAAAACTAAATAAAGATTCAGAATCATAAGAAAAAAAAAAAATTCACAGTGCCAAAGCAAGCTGCTGTTGTGTCCTGTCCTGAACAGTACCAGCAGTTTGGGGTAGGAAGAGGGACACCAAATTTGGATATAACATCCCACCTCCTGACTCCTCCTGCCCCCCTGCTTCTCCACTTCAACTCACCCCCTTTTGCTCTGCTCTCTGTGGCACCGGCATCTCTGGAATTTCCAAGCCCGAGCCTGGAAGGATCAGAGAACTGTCACAAAGAGCCAGATCAGGGTATCTGTAAGTGTGCAGATTTGGGACAGGTGGGAGAAGGCAGTGACACTCTGGGGCCAAAAACTAGAAGCAGGAAGCTACTTTGGGGAGCCAAATAACACAGTTTACAAAGGATTTGAGAAAACTATCAATCACAAGGTAGGATATGCCCAGTGCTCAGGTTCTGATTGTCAGTTAAAAGGCCACAAGAACTTGGCAGTGGGAGTGGGAACAGAATTTAACAATGTGCTTCTTTCCTTCCTCTAGGAACTGTCCTGCCCCCAACTCCCTGCCCTTCTCCCATCCAAGAAAAACCAGCGATGATACAGAGCCAACCTGCAATAGTCAGACTTCAGATTTTCAAGATTACTTTAAACCACCAGGAAGTTTTCTTCATTTTCTATTTGGAGTTTATACCAAGAGATTCTTCTAGCTATCACTGATCCTTTTGAAGACCTTTTTCTATATTGTGATACCAGAAATTGCTCAGCTTTTCACTCTATGGACTATTTCTAAAGAGTTTTTTACGGGGTGGTTTGTAACCCCTCCAACCTAGCCTCTCCCCATTTATTTCCAGCCCAGATTCTAACAGGGTCCACAGAATTCTTCAGGAAATCCTCCAGAGACCCTGTCAGCTGTGTTGGAGGCCAAAGTCAGCTCAGTGGGACTCCCGCTCCAGCCCTAGTTTTACGCCCTCTGGATGACAGCAGAAACTTCATGAACCAGCTCTTTCTCAGAGCTAAGATGCCACTTTACCAGAATGTCAGGCAGCATGACTGCTGTGATCCACAGACCCCCAGAAAAATGTCCTGTCCCTCTGTTAGAGTGTTTTTGGTGAGGCAGAGACCTCCCCTGAGAATGTAGTGCTGTTCTCCCTCCCTCCCTCCCTCCCGCGCGCTCTGTTTTGGAGCTTCTTTTGGTCAGAGACATAAGAAATTGCTTCAGGTAGATCTGATACTGTGAATGTTTGAACATACCCGTGGCCTTCACCTCCCCAGTTGCCCTTGTACCTCAGCAGCAGCGGTGGCTCTGCCAAGCACTCCCCTAGGCTCCCGTCTCAGGAGACCAAAACTCACGGAAAAGTAGGCACCTTTGGCCAAAAGCTCTAATGGAATGTTTTCAGTGGCGGTTTGGGGAAGGAAAGCTAATGAGGTTTTTAGAATAAGGTGTTCTAGTTCTGGGAGTGCGCACTTCATCCTGAGGAGTGGCGCTTACCTCAGTCTACTAAGGAGTGTTTCAGGTAACCAGGTCTGGGCCTTTCTTTTATTGTCACAAGGGATGTAGCTCAGACAGGAGGCTGTGTTCTCTGACCTTCCTCCTGAGAGGCACCTGCCTGAGGACATCCTTCTGGAGCAAGGGGATTATCGGCTTCTAGGGACCATCCCTCCCATAAGACACCACATGACGGGTATAAGCCCTAGGGCTGCTCATCCCCCCTCGCCACCTGAGGTCTGTCAGGTTTTGTGGACTTGATTTGTGGTGAGTTTTGGATTTAGGTTTTTTATTTGCCTTGGTTTTGAAAGTGAGGACTGATGTCCCCAATTCCTGGTAAGGATTTGGGGCATTTTTATTCAATAGGGCTTCTCTAATCCTCCAGCTTGCTTCCCACAACAGATCTGCCTGGAAGCTTCTTAGAATCCTAATTCTAGGCTAGAAGCGAACTTCATGAGATTAGTCAGTGAGTCACTGACAGCGATCACCGGGGCTCAAGGACACTGAGCATGAGCACAGTCTGAAGCCAGCAGCATGTGTCCAAAGTCTCTACTAGCCGAGTGTTACTTAGACAAACTCAGCTGATTTGAACTGATTGCGAGTGTGTGCGTTTTTTTCTTTTAGTTCTCACGTGAGACCACTATTGCCAACAGGCAGCTCAGGAGGGAGGGGAGAGTCGGGGGAGTTATGACAGGCTGGGGAGCAGTGGGTTGTTCTGTCTTAGGAGCAGATGTACAGGCTGTGGCATAGGGTCTGACGTGACGAGGCTTTCTGGGGGCCCAAGCCAGGACTGTGTTGTCAGGTTTGAACCCCTGTCCCATCAAACAGACGGATAATGAGCTTACTTTCAAGTGGCCAGGTGTCCTGCTGAAGGAGCTACCAGTGCTCACGATGCTGAAACCTAGAGCTGGGCGCAGTGGTACGCATCCAGGATCCCGGCTGCTTGGGAGGCTGAGGCAGGAGTTTTGTAAGTTTGTATCCAGCCTTAGCAACAGAGCAAGACCCTATCTCCAAAACAAAAACTGGAGACCTGTGGGAGGAAGAGGATGGGCGAAGGGAGGGGCGCATGCATGTCTCTTCAGCATCCCCAATGTTCTGTGCTATCCAGATCAGTGTGGCAGCCTTCATAGCACAGGACCTTGCATCTGGGGGCCTAAGCTTTCCTCAGCTCTGCCGCCAGCTCCCTCCTCCTCTGTCAGTTGAACCAGAATTACACTAACTTCCTCCCAGGCCGCTTCCCCTTCCTCCCATTCTGGCAACAGATCTTGGAGTTTGGCAATTGTTTGGATTTTTTTTCTCTTTCATTCTGCAATTGTGTGTATGTGTATGAGAAGAAAAAAACAGACTGTCCAGGTAGAAATGGTAAAGCGTGGGGAGGAGAGTCACATTTCCAGGATCCCAGACAGCGATTCCTAAAGTGACTCAGACACACCACAGTAACAACTCTCACTGCCATTTTATTTTTACTTCAGAACTAAAGATTTCCTTCAAACCACAGGAGAGCTCTGCCACCTACCCACAAAGCAAGGTCTGCACTCACAACCAAGGGCCCAGGAAGCCTAACTGCAGGGGACATCATTCCCCGCCCCCACTGGGGCCATCACTATATTCTGGGGGATCCTTGAGCAGCCAGGGGTGAGGAGACCACCATCTACCTTGGGAAATGGAGCCAGAGCTATGGCTTGACCAACACCCCTTGATGCTCATGGGAAACCTCTGCCCAGAGCTCAGCCCCAGGCTGGTTGTTTTTACAAATCTCTCTCAAATGTATTATTTTGGTGACAAAAATGAAGGAGCTTTGTAAATTTTTTTAAAAAATTATGAATCATATCAAGTAGTTGTTTACATTTCTTGACAAAATAGGAACCATGGCAGCAGAATCAAATTGGCAAAATCTCTAGATTAAATAGGCAATAATTAGGTCTGCTGTTTTGGCCTTTTGTAGTAAGAGAAGTGGTTGTAGTGTTTAGATATGTATTTGGTCTTGCTTCTTGTATTGCATTTTTCAATAAACTTCAAAAAAAAAAAAAAAGCCTACTGACTCTAAGGATTGATCTACTTTTGTATTTCTCTTCTATCAGTAACTTGGGGAAAATTAAAGCTGGATGGGGAGACCTAACCTGAAAACATTTTCTAAAGTAAGCTCCCCACATTGGCCCAAATGCAGCTTCAGTGTTGTACAAAGGGGTTTCTGACAACTGGCAAATGCTTTTTGCCGGCTGAAGGGAGATTGCGGCACAGGCCACAATAAAAAAAAAAAAAAAAAAAAAAAAGAAATAAAAAGAGGAGGGCTTCTCAGACCTCTCTGGGGAGTGGTCAGACCTCAGTATGAAGACATTGGCAGTAGTTAGCCCTAGTGGGATATACCCTGCATGGCTGAAGAAAGGGTTTGAGCTAAAGGTTCAGTCCCCATCCCAGATGGCAGTGGAGGGTCTCAGCACCCTCCCATTGCCCATCTTCCCAGAAGCCCAAGCTCTAGCCCTACTCTGGAGAGGGCCTGTCTGTCCCAGCCTGCAACATCCCAACCTACCTTCCAAGTCTTAGAGGTCCTTGCCCACCACTTTGGGTTTGTTAAGACACCAGGTGCATCTCCCAATCACCTTTGGCCTGGACCTCCAGTCCCCTCAGGTACCTGTCCAGGGCTAAGGCCACATATGGAGGCTGAAGAAATTCCTGAGGCCGAGGCATGCTGGTCTCCACACTCTACTTTAAACCACTCCTGCTGGCTCATCAAGCCTTAGTGCAGCTACCACACACAGGTAGGATGCCTTAACCGCTGCTGTGGTGGGAGGTCCATCCCAACCTGAGATGTGCCTGAAGCAGCTATGGTCTCTGGTCCTGTTATCATGGTCCATGCTGCAGCCTCATAGCGGGTTGTCCCCCTACTCCTCAGACCCGGGCCCCCAAATTCTCTCCTCCCAATTTGGCATACCCCCCCAGACTGAGACGGTCCAGCCGTGGCCAGCTTCTGTGAGCACAGTCACGAGCAGCTGGGGTCCCAAGGAGGAGCTCCCCAAGGCCCAGATCCAGAGACTTGGAATGTTCAATGCAGGAGCCAGAGGGCTGCACTGTGATGATCACGTGGCCAGTCTGGGTTCGTGGAGCCCAGGGAGGGGCCAGCCCTGGACCCTTCAGCGGGTAACTGTTGAGGAGGGCAGGTAACCCGAGGCGAGGATTAGCAGGCTCTGAACGCAGACTCCGCACTGAGGGGACGGGTGAGGTACCCCGACGCGGGGACAGGTCCCAACTTTCTGGCTCCGCGCAGCCTATGGCTAGGGGAGTCCTTGGGCCAGGGCTGGGAAGGAGAGCGCAGTCCCAGCTGGGGCCGTCGGGGGGCCGGAGGGCCTGGTCCCGTAGCACCCCCTGGCGGAGTCGTCGCGTCTCCAAGTCTCGGTTCTCATAGAGAAGAGTGTTGGCACAGATGAATACAAACAAGCCGACGCCCATGATCACTGGTCCAAGCAGCCGTAGCCGCTCGTGCGGGCCATGACCCCGGCCCGCGCCGCGACCCTCGCGTCGCAGCTCACTAACAGGGGGTGAGCTGGCATTGGCGGCCCGGGGCCCCGGGGCCCCGGCACGGTGCGGCCAGTAGCCGGCCACTGCGATGCCCATGCCCACCAGCACCACGAGCGCCCCCAGGGCGGCGAACGCCCCCGACGGTGAGCGCAGCCGCAGCCGCGCCCGCACCCGCAGAGGCTCGGGCGGAGAGCGCGGGCGCCGGCGGCGGCCCAGGCGGCGGCCCAGGCGCGAGACGCGGCCCTCGGGGCTCCTCCGCATCTCCCCGCAGTCTCCCGGGCTCCCGGCTGTCATCTCGCTGTCGTCCGGGCGCTCTGCGGAGAGAAGACAGGAGGCGGGGCTGAACCGACGGGCCTAGGTTCGGGGCTCCGGGCTCGGGGTCCAAATCCGGGATGGGAGCTCGGGCCGCCTCGCTCTGGCCGCTTGGAGATCCCTGGCGGCCACCCCCGGATTTTCCCGGGCTACGAGGCAGGGAGCCGCCCCCGCTCGGGTTTTCCGCAGCGGAGCTCGGAGCCAGGGACGCGCGGCAGAAGCCCGAGTTGGCCCGGCCCGCGGGCGGAGAGGAGGGCGGGGGCTGCGGGCTGCTCCCTGGCGCAGGCCGGGTCGCGGGGCTCCGGCAGTCTGCGCCCTCTCTGCCTGCCCGCGGGTCCCGGGCCTCGGAAGGCATGAGGCCCCCAGCAGCCGCGTCTGGGGGGTAAGTACGGCCGGGGTCGACCCCACCCCCGCACGTGGCTGCGCCGTAGTAACAGAGGGAGGGGGCGCTCAGACCGCTGGGTCCGCAGGGGTCGCTCGCGCGCTCCCCCCCCCCACTGCGCTTTACATACCGCAGCGTGGGAAGGAGGGGGTGTCACCGACTCCAGCCTCTCCTTGCCCGCCCCCTCCTTCCAGACTTCCTCAGTCAGCACCGGAGCTGTAGCAGGAGAGACTTGAGATAGACTCCGGGAAGACCGCTCTGATCAAGACCAGCCAGTCAGAGGAGGCGGCGGCGGACTTTGCCCAGGATCTCTTTCAACTCCTCCAGAAGAGGCCTCCCCCTCCCCCAGCAGCCAGGCTGGGACCTTGGCAGGAGGCAGGGGGCTGCCAGTGCTGGGCGCAGGGCCTCACCGGACAGACTCTGCTCTCGGCTCTCCGGTCGGCCCAGGCAAGGCTATTCCTAGGTTGCGGCGTTTCCGATTCGGGCTGCTTGGGATGAATCATCCCCATTTCCCGCCGCCTGGCCTCCTTTTCAGCCTCCTCCGCCCGAGGCCTCAGTGGACCGCGTCCCAGCCAGAGCAGCAACGCCCAGAGCCCCAGGGTTCGGGCTGCACAGCTTAAACCCCTCCCAGCTACAGGATGTGCTGGGTCTGCGACCTGAGGACCAGATCCCGGCCGGGACAGGAGCAGCAGGGCTATAGGTGATGTGGGCCCCACCGAAGGGAGGGCGCGGAACGACACGCAGCCCCCATCCAGGCCCCAAAAGAGGAGAGTTAGGACTCGCTGTCCTGGAGTGCGTCCTTACTCCCCCACTCTGATTTCTAAGCAGCTGCAGCCCTGAAGGCATAGCCAAGCCTCAGGGAGGAGGATTTGCCACCCTGCCCACGCCCCAGCCGCACCCCGAAGCCCAAAACAGGACACCATTCCTGCCTCGGACAGCACTGCCCCAGGTCCGAGGCCTAGATAGAGTCGTAGCGTCTACCGCGTCCAAAGACTGGTTTTCATAGGTGGAAACTGCGGCCTGACGGGGGTCACACCGCCACAAGAGGCGGGGGCTCCATCTCGGCCGACGCCGGGCTCCTGACCCTACCCCTGGGCATGGCACACCTCTGGGCATAGCCACAGGCGCGTCCAGGGAGCAGGCGAAGCCCATTACCCCCTTATCCCTGGGTATGGAACCTTTTCCCAGTCCAAGACAGCAGTGACCACCTCTTCTCAAGCTAGAGCTGGCGCCCCAACCCCAACTCCTGAAAGGTCACTCCTGAGCCCGGGCCAGTCCCTGCCAGGAGGCGAAAGCATGCAAATCAGAGACTCGTGGACATGTTCAGAGACCCCAAGACTGGTGGGCTTGGGACGACGCTGAGGACCCCATGGAGGCGGAAACTAGAGTCACAGCCGGATGATCCCAAGGCGCGGGAAGTTGTTCACAGCCCCATACTCCGGGGTCCCGCCACCGCCCGCGTACCTACTCCGGCCTGGGGAAAAGGAAGGACCAGGATCCCGCCCCTGTACCTCTCCCGAGGGAGGAGCCAAAGAAAGTTAGGGAAAGTGGGTGGCGGGCCCGTGGCTCCTGTCCTGCTCACCTGGAGCTGCCGCGCCGGAGTAGGTCCGGGTCCGAGTCCGCGCGCCGCGGTTCCCCGCACCTCCTAGATCTCCACGGAGCCCCGCCCCGGCCCCGCCCCGCGCCGCTCGGCCCCGCCCCCGCCGGCTCCGGAGCCCCCCGAACCATCCGACCCGCGCGGCGCTGCAGGAAGGCGCAGTTTGGGTCTGAGGGCGGCAGGTAACCGCTGTGTGCGCGCCTGGCGACTCCGAGGGCCCGCGCCCGACTCCCCACCCTGGCTCCAGCTCATGCAGCACGCAGGGACCTGGAGGGTGCCCCTTCCCCACCGGAGCCTCTGCCCAGACCCTCAGCCCGGGGAGTCCACGCCCGCCCCTCCTGTCCCCAGAGCCCTCCTTTCTTCGCCGGGAGGCGGCCGAGCCCGACCCGCCCTTCCGCCGTGCGAACCTCACTCCTTCGTCTGCCAAACAGGCACCACGTCGTCTGCCTTTCAAGGCATCGAGAGGCGACAATCAGACGTTGGGGGCAGGGCCCACCACCCAGGGCGCAGCCTGGGCCACCCGAGCCCTCGATGGACATCAGCCACGGTGGCCGCAGCGGGGACAACCGGGCTGGGAAGGAGAAAATCAAGCAGGGTGTCGAGGGTCCGGCCTCAGACGCGCCCACTTCTGGCGGGGAGCTGCGCTGGCCCCACTGAGGAGGCAGTGCTGAGGGCCGCGGCCACCCGCCGACGACGCGCCGGGGCCCGGCTCCTTGCCCACCCGCCCGGAGGAAGAACGCGGAGCGGAGCGGCGGGGGCCGGGCGGGCGGCCAGTTTCCATGATGCGCGGGGCGGGCTCGAGGAGGGGCGCTGCGGGCCGGCTTCCAGGCCCAGCGGCCCGGCCGGGCCCCTCGGGAAGAATTTCCGGCCTGGGATTGATTATAACCCGCCCCTCTCCTGGCCGCGGGACCCCCGGGCTCGCGGGGCAGAGGCGAGGGGGATGGGCAATAATGAGACCCGGCTGTGCGCCCCAGCCGGGGACAAGACTCGAGGAAGTGATGGGGAGGGGCCGGGTCCCCGAGCCGCTCAGCCCAGCCAGCCTCGAACCCGGCCTCCGGCTTTGTGCAGCCGACCGAAAGCATCAGCGCCCCCGAAGGCCTTTCCGAGCCCCCGGGAACCAGGCATCCTCGGGAGGGACCCAGGCCAACCCCGGACGGAGGTTCCTCCCGAGGACCGAGGGAGCACCAGCAGCCCCCAGGTGGCCACAGTGCGTGAGGCCGAATCCCGCTTCCCCGGCTTCGCCCTGCGGCTCTAAGAGCCAGGTTAGGGCCCGGTTCCTGCCTCCTGAGGACTGAGTTGCGAAGAGCTCTCTGGCTTGCTCGCAGAGGCGCGGCCTCCCTCCTGCCTCCTGCCTCCTCCCTACTCTCATCTCCTTCGCTTTCCTTTGCTCTGGACCACCCCCAGCGACCCACTCCCCACACACTGCCTCAACCACGCCCCCACTCCTGCCTCCGAACACGCGGCCCTGTCAGGGCTCACTGCTCTTCCTAGGGACACGAGTTCTGGGGGGAAAGCCTGGACCGTCTCCCGCCCTTGCCGACCTCTCCTCTGGTGATGGCTGTACCACTTTCTCCTCCACCGGCTCCTGGGGCTCGTACCTTGGCTGGTTTCCTCTCTCCCTGGTGGTGGGAATCTTCCACCTGGGCCACAAGCCCAGCTTCACTCTCAGCAGCTAGACACCTCTCTGGCCCCGTGGTGACCATCCCCTGTCCCACTCCTTCCCTGTCTCCCCTTCACAAAGTCCCACTGTCACCAGAGTACACTGGTACACTAGGTCACCTTAGGCTGCTGCTGTTTTGTTTAGTTTGCAATTATTATTGCTGTTTTTCCATGTACATGACAGTAGAGTGTATTCTGACATATTAGTATCACTTACTCCTATTAGAATCAGGCTGCTTCTCCCCCACCCCTTCATCCAGCAGTCCATCAAGTCTTGGAGACTGCCATTTTCATCTGGAATCAACCTCTTATCCCTTCCCCATGGCCATGCTCCTGGTCCAGGCCACCCATCTGGTCCGGGCCATCAACCTCCTCTGCCTGGAGAAGGCATAGTCTTGCCACCTCCTAATCCCTTCTACCCTTCTGCAGACAGGCACCCAGCATCTTTCTACCCTGAATCTGACCCTGTAATTACCTACTTAAAACCCTCAGTGGCTCCCTGTGTTGTCCAGATGCAGTTTAAAATTCCTTCTTGTCTCACAAACTGGCCCGTGGACCTCTCACACTGCTCTCTCCTGGGTGGCTGAGCTTCTTTCTGTCTGTCCCCAGACCCTCTGTGCTCTGGCTTCCAGGCTTGGCAGGATTCTGGCTGTCAGGAGCATCTATTTCCCTTGCCACCACCTCCTCCTCCTTCAGAGCTATGGGCCTTCTCCTAGCCCCTAGGCCAGGCTAGCCCCTCCTTCACCCTTCATGACATGTCCTCATGTACCAGAAACTTCCCTGTGCACAGCACAGATGAACTGAAACCATCATTTTCAATTGAGTCCATTTGTTGTCTGTGGCCATGACGGGTTGGTCTTGCTTATCTCTGAAGCCCTGTGCCCAGCATGATGTCTGCTCACCGCTGGCCCTCTCCCCCTTGTTAGAGGAATGTGTGCAAGGCCTGTCTCTCTTACTCTGGGACCCTTTCCTACTCTCCACCCCTAGGGCCCTGACCCAGGAGCAGAAGGAAAGGGGTTCTGCAGAGGCTCAATTTCTTCATCTGTAAAAGGACAAGGAACTATTTCCCTCCTGGTATTGTTTTGAAGGCTGAATAAGAGTACACATGCTCTGTGCCTGGTGCAGACGGGCGCCAGCCAACAGCCCCTCCTTCCTATAACCATGGGGTTTCAGACACAGAGGCCAGTGCGTGGGGTTGTTCAGGGTGGCAGGGGGCAGAAGGGGTTCTTTTCCCCAGATATAACCTTGTTTAATTCTGTTGAGAACTCTGGGAGGTCAACGTTATGCCCAGTTTTGGGATGAGAAACTGTGGCAGACGCACTTGCCCACAGACCCAGCCAAACTAAGTCTCTCCCACTGTGGAGGGGCCTCCCAGGGCCTGCCTGGCTTAACCCTGTGGACATGTAGCAGCCTCAGTACTGGGACCATGTCCCCAGGAGGCCTGGTTCACTCTCAACTCTTCCCTGGCCTCTGTGTGACCTGGACTCCCAGGAGGGCCCTGGATGAGATGTCCCCTGGAGACCAGGATGATGAACATTTCCTCTTCCAAGCTTCTCTGTGGGATCAAGGAACCTGACAGAGTGACTCAAGGCTCCATGTCCTCTTCAGAATCCACCCTGGGGAGAAAGCCCAACAGCTGTCGCCTCCTGCATGCACAACCTAACCCCGAGCCACAGAAATTCAGCAGGGCCTCAAAATTTATCTTTTCTAAGAACAATGTGCTGGCCTCATCTGGACAGCCTCTGATTTCCTCCTGCAGCCCCCATTGATGCCGGTGTGTCCTAGGCACAATGTCCCCTTACGGCTCTTGCCCAGAGAGACCTCAACCTCTCTGGCACAGAGGGAGCACATGGCCTGGGTCAAAGCTGGGGACTGCTCAGTAATTCCCAGAGTGGCCTTGGAAGTGTCATGCACTTCCCTCTGCTCCTGCCTCTGTAACGTGTCCTCTGCAGGCAGGACTGGTGTCTGGATGTGATGAGGAATGTTTGGCAAATAGAATACAGGATCCCAATCCCAGTGCTCCAACACCCAGGTGGGGTCAGTGACTGGTCCAGAGTGACCCAGCTTATGCATGGCAGAGCTGGGCATCAGGACCTACAATCCCAAGTCCTAGTCAGCGCTCAGGTTATGAACCCCAAATCCATCTCTTCCCATCCTGTGGGACTTCTGTGCTGGGCAGCTCTGGGCTTCTTCCCAGGTGTCTCTGTGCTGCGGGCAAGACCACAGGGAGAGTGAGCTCCCCCACTCCATTACTCTCTGAGCCCAGAAAAGAGAAGGAAACAGAGCCTGGGTGAAGCTGGGACAGTCAAGGGAATGAGACCCTCGTGGGGAACAAGGCAAGGCCAGGTCCCTGCAAGTCCTTAGAGGGACAGCAGCCGGCATGTTACCCATCTTACAGAGCTGTGCCCAACTACCAGCCCCTGTATATACCCTGACTTAACGCCCGTGAGGTAAGCCCCCTCCTGGGCCACTCTTGTGGAGTCCAGCTTCTGTGAGTTCCAAGCCTGCAGCTGACCAATGGCAGAGCCAGAGTCAGAACCAGGCTCTAAGCAGCTCTGTGACTGTGGGCAAGTCAGGTCACCTCTTCAGGCCTGTTCCCTGCTCTGCAAAACAGAGACAATGGTAATAACAATGTCACAAAAATGCTACAGTGAGGATGCAGCCCCTCAGCCTGGAGCACAGTGAACGCGGTGCTGTGGTTTCCTGGCCTTCAGCTGGCGCTTGCCCATCCGTTCCCTCACCTATAAAATGTGAAATGGAGGCTGATAATTACAGCCTTTTAGCCATCTTCTCTGAGCTAGCTGTTGGGGACCAGGGAGGGGCCAGCTCAGGCCTCATCCAGAGGCTTTAGGGGTTGGCAGGAACAGACATGTCCACCAAAAGTTATGGCAGTTGGCAGCAGCAGACATGGGGAGTCATGCCCAGACAGCCCCAGGGCAGTCGGTTCACCCCAGAATCTGTTTCTTTATTAGACAGCGTGCCAGTCACCTACCTTGGAGGGTCATCAAAAGCCTCGCCTGGAAGGACCCAGTAAAACTTAGCTGCTGTTATTGTTCTACTGCTGTTGACCCCACTCCTATGTTCTAGCTCATTTCTGCATCCTGTTTCTTATTTTTGAACATTCCAATCCGCCCATCTTGGATCAGGCTTTTTCCCTTGGTTCAATCAACTGGGGAACAGAGGGAAGGGACAGGGTTAGGAAGTCCAAAGGCATAAGGGCTGGCAATGTAGATTCTCTCAGAGCCTGGGAGGGATGACAGGTCTCAACAAGGAACTACCAGCCTTGGGGGGAGGGCAGGTTGGACCTTGGGAACTGAGTGATCTAACAAGGGCTTGGAGTAGGACTACTGGCTGGAAGAGTGACCATGGGCACATGCCTGCCACTTATGGTCTCAGCTACAACATGTGTGTCCCTTGAGGGGCTGAGACTGGAGGGTCACTGTGAAGATTTGCCTCCCCCTCATCTATGGGTGCTCATGGATGACAGGTCACAGGAAGAAAAACCTCAACAGAGAAATGATATATTTTTGATCTGGGCGCACAAGTGCTACCAGCTACTCTGGACACTGAAGCAGGAGGATTGTGAATTCAAAGCTAGCCTCAGCAATTTAGCCAGGCCCTAAGCAACTTAATCGAGACTCTGTTTCAAAATAAGACAGGGGGCTGGGGATATAGCTCCGTTGGTAGAGTTCTTTCCTGGCCTGCACAAGGCCCTGGGTTCAATCCCCAGCACCCCCCCCACACACACACACACATACACACACAAGATATATCAGTGGTTAAGTGGCACCAATAAATAAATAGGGCTGGGGGTGTGACTCAATGGTAAAGTGACACCAATAAATAAATACATAGGGCTGGGGATGTGACTCAATGGTAAAGTGTCCCAGGTTCAGTCCCCAATACCAAAAAATGAAAAATAAAATACAAAGAGAGGAGAGAAAATTTTTGAGAATATCTACAAGTTTCTCATTCCTCTGCACTTCTGTGCAGAGAGGCCTGCCTTAGGAAGGCGAAGGACTACAATCAACCCACAGTGACAGCCCTTAACACCTAGAAGTCTGGGTTTGCTGTAGACCAGGAGATGGGAGTAATTTGTTACAGCAGCACAACCCACAGAAACCTGATTAATACACCTGTGGTGATAAGCGCTGGTTAAAAAATAGTTAATCATGTGATTGCTTTATTTCAGGTTCAGAACAATGGGCCTGGTTGATGTTGCCACCACAGAGTTTAAAAACAGTGATCTGCAGAAGAGCAGCATGAAAGGTATTTCTCTTTCATTTACAGCTGGGCGGGGTGGACAGGGAGCCCCCTCCCCTGCTTTACTGTGGTTTCTCCACCATCCCTGGGGCGTGGCACCCCCTCTTGTCTTTATGGTTAAAGATTCCTCTTTGTTCCCTCCCCAGCACCAGCAGGAAGACCATCCCTGAGAATGGGCTGGCAGTGCACACATCTAGAATGTTCATTCCCCAGTTTGTCAGACTGAGTCACGTGTCTTTTAACTGGCTCCAAGGGAGGCCGAGGTGGGGGGTGGCTCCTGGGAGACAGCTTAGGAGTCCACATTGATACCACTTGGATGTGGCACCTCCATTTGGTGACAGATCACATTGCCGATGAAGTGATGAGCTCTGTGTCACTCGGGAGGAAAAGGAGAGGCTCCCCCCCCCCCCGCCCTCCACAAGGGATTCAAGGTGGGGAGGCTCCAGGGCAGGCCTCAGTTCCAGCGGGCTGCCCTCTGCCTCCTGAGGATTACAGGGCTCTGCACCCAGCCGTGGGCGGGAGGGGCTGGGCCGGCCCGGGGATGGAGGTGCGGGGGCGCCCCCTAGTATCTGGGCCGCGCCCTTGTCCCTCGGCACCGCTATCGCTGGGCCAGCCGCCGTCCTCAAAGGCTCCCCACGAAGTGACCCTGGCGCCCACCCGGAACCCAGGCCGCAGGCCTTTGGCCTCCTGTACGAGCCCCCTTGCAAACCGCCGGGTGCCTACGACTGAAGGATTCCCCTTGGGGAGGTGGGAGTAGAGGAGGAGGAAGACGCAAAACTTTGTGTTTGAACCAAATGGGACCCAGCTCTTCAGGGCCTGGGACGGGGCTCCAGCCTGTTTTTTCTGGCCAGAGTCCCTGCTACGTGCAGTTTAACAGGATCCCCTGCGATTCCCCTAACGACCAGCGAGGGCAGTGCTACCCTCCCCCTGCGCCACAGATGGGAAAACTGAGACCCAGATACAAAATCCCTCGGCAGGTAAGCGATAGAGCTAGGTCCTAACCTAGGACTGTCTGTGTCTAAGCCCACCTTCTGGCCTTGGATTAGTTGCCCCTACCCTCCACACCCCGGGGCTCCTGGCCTGGAGTCTAGCTTGGGCATCACCCAAGGCCGGTAGAGGTTTGCTTCTTTATCAGACAGAACACGCAGACTTTAAATTTAGTGGTGACTGTTTCACTGCTGAAAGGGGACAGGAGGCTCAGAGAGCTCCCTCATTCCTTCACCCCTTTGGGGAGGTGCAGAGGGCATCTGCATGGGTGCCTTTTTCCTAGTCGTTTTAGAGGGGGAGACCCAGGACATGGCAGGCTGCGGAGGGGTTCCTCACAGGGTGCCTTCTCCCCAGTGGGAAACACCGGGAGGAGGGAGATGGAAGAGGAGAAGGCAGCCCAGGGGGAGGACTGGCATGGAATGGCTTTGAGGACTGGCATGGAATGGCAGGAGCAGGCAGAGCTGTCCCTCAGGAACTCCAGGCCAGCCCTGCAGGAGACTGACTTTATCTCCTGTAAGTGAGGCAGGCACAGAGCTTATTCCCTGCTTCCAGGCTCAGGGGTGAAGTGACCCCACCCCAAGTAACAGAGTATGGGAAAGTGTCAGGACTTCCAGCCAAGTCTGCCTGACTACAAAGCCTTCTCCACACAGGGTTGGGGGATGAATAATTATCCCCACTTTACCGGGGCCCAGCGAGTTGAAGTAACTTGTTCCTCATCTGTAAAATGTCCTTACGGGGGAACTTCCAGGAAGGAGCAGCTCCACTTACAGAACTTCCTCCCTGGCTCCTGGACCTGGTGAGGCACAGGCGGGATTAGATCATTTACTTGGTCTCTTTCAGATACTTTCCAGGAACTTCACGTCCCTAATCGTATTACAGCAAGGAAAGCTAGCCAAGCAGAAGAGGAGAGAGTGTTCTCCGAGGGCTGGGGGTCCTTGGAGGTTTCCTTCAGAGGGACATCAGCACCTCTGATCATTAAGCAAACACACTCCTGCCTGGAGGAGCAGCCCATGCTGCCGGGCCGCTGTTGGGTCGGGCCCAAATCTCTGGTTTGGAGGAATCACCAATAATGCCCAAGAGGTTTTTCGAGCTACTTGGCTAACTCTTCTTGCCAAGAGATACTTGAGGAGGGAAAATGATGAATGAAAGAGCATCGAAAGAATTACAGTTGGTTTTAATGGTAGCTAACAGACAGTTGTGGATCCTTCTCCTTCTCCTTCTCTTCACATTGTAGTCATTGAAGCATGTGGTCAGGAATATATTCTGGAATGGGAACGGAATCCATCAACTCTGGTGGCTGCAAAAGGGTGCCCAGAGGGGACTGAGAAGCGGCCTTTTGGGGGCTCCACCAGTTGCTGTTGTGAAGAGCCCTAGCGTAAGCGCCTTTGTACTGCAGCACTTTTCTTTGAGTTGTCACCTCAGGATAAAGAGCCAGGAGTGGAGTACTAGGGCTCCTGCAGATCTCCCTCTGGATCCTGAGGTGACTTCCAGCCGCACCAGCAGTCTAGCAGCTCAAGTTCACAGTCAGGCCAGCTGCATTGGGTTCCTAATAGAGACCAGGTGTTAGGCAAGGCTGCAGGCTTGTTCCAATTTGATTTCTTTAGGAATATCCCAGGGTTCTATAATCACTCTCTAAAAAACACCAACGTTGCCTGGGAAGTGTGAATTAGGATAAATATTTTATACAAAAAAAGGAATTTTGATTCTTTGGAATCAGATTAAATCTCCACTTGCTTTTTGGAAGGCTGTTTTACTGTGAATTCCACACCTCCGGGAAACTGCATAAACTTGAACGTCCAGCTCCTTAAACTCATCAAACAAATGCCAGGTAGGGTCTCAACCAGGCGAGGACCAGAAAGCTGCCCAGGAAGCCCCACCCACCCCCACCCCTCTTCCCTGCACCCAAGTGTGCACTCTTCTGAGCCTAAAGCTGCAGTGTATAAAAACAGCAACCGTTTAGTTTGGCCTGTTTTGAAGATTTCTGTGTGTGGGGATGGAGTGTGGGCTCATTTGTTTGGCTGCTTCATATTGTGAGAAATAGAGTCTGAAGATGGTTCACTTTCAAAAAACAGTATTCAGCCGTAATTGGATCCAATTGTAGTCGTTTAAATTGTAGCCCTTCCCTTTTGCCCACCCTGATTCTGAAATCAGCCAATCGCGTAGGCCGTACGCCCGAGTCCTCCAATCAGGGCGGAGGGCAGCACCGCCCGCGGTGGAGAACCGGGGCCGCCCGCCCACGTGCGCTGGCGATCCGGGCTCGGGAAGCGCGCTTCTGGCAGGAGCCGGGGTTTGCCTTGCCCACCCATTTTTTTTTCTCCACCCACTTTCGAGCGCGTATTTGCTTTCTTGCGGCACCCAGTGTTTCGAACAATATTGGTGAAACTCGCCCACGTTGCTTCGCGTAGCCGTGGTAGCCGGCCCCTCGCCTCCGCAGAACTTGGCACAGAAACGCCGCGCGGCGGGGCCGCCCTGTGTTGGGAAGGCTTCGGTTTGTTTCCGGTTTGGGCACTAGAAATGTGCTGTCCTGACTGTACATGTTGTTTGACCCCCACCGGAGGCCACCCCCTCCTGGAAGGGCTCTACCAAGAGGTGCAAGTGCCAGGGTGGCTCTTCTTTCTTCCCCTCCCCTTCCCCCTCCTTTCTCCCCTCCACTCCCCCCCACCCCCCAGTGCTGGGCATTGAATCCAGAGCCTTTCACATGCTAGACAAAGCCACTGAGTACACCCCAGCCCTCATTTTAAAAGTTGTCCTCTGTCCATCCTCCCTCCCTCCCTCCTCAGTGCTGGGGATCAAATGCAAGTCCTCACATAGGCCAGGCAAACACTCTACCACCGAGCCACATCCTCAGCCCTTTTGATTTGATTTTGAGACACCATCTTGCTAAGGTGCTGAGGCTGGCCTCAAACCTACTATCCGTCCTCCTGCTTCAGCCTCCAGAATCACTTGTTTTTAGAGGTATGTACCACTGGGCCGGATTTGGGATGGCTCTTTTCTCTGACTTACCTTGCATCTTGGTGATGAAATAAGACATACTGTGTATACCATCCTGGGATTTGATTTTGTGTAGCTGGTGTCCCTGCCCCAAGCATGAGTTAATTTATTTGGATTTTAGCATTTAAAATGAGAGACTGCAGCTTGTGAAGAAAATTGCTTCCATGTTCATCTTGGGGTCATTCTTAGAATGTGACCCCAACTTTTGCAGGTGTGTAGCAGACCTTTTGATAATTATTCTCCCAACCTCTACTTTAGGGAGTCTGCCTTGGTGTGCTTGGGGGAGACGGTGACCCTTTTACTAAGGCTGAGGGAATTGGAGCCTCCCTCTCCAGTAGGTTGGACCCTCTTGCCCAAGGCCTGACCCCTTGCCTGCTTCCCGGCCCTCTTGAACTGCTTCCATCTGCCCATCTTCCAAGGACCTCTTTCAGCTTCCAGGGAGAACAAAAGGAGCCCCTTCCCCAAGAACACAGTGATTATTCTGCAGGTCACTGAGGTATTACCTGCATGTCATTAAAATTCACTCCTGGGGGGCTGGGGGTGTGGCTCGGTGTAGAGTGCTTGCCTCATACACAGGAGGCCCTGAGTTCAATCCTCAGCACAACATAAAAATAAATATATAAAATAAAGGGATTGTGTCCACCTACAACTAAAAAAAGTATTAAAAAAATAGGACCATAGCCTCTGCTGCACTCGTGTTTTGATGTTTTACGTTTATTTTACTCTTGGGGGCACTGGGGATGGAATCTAGGGGTGTCTACCACTGAGCTATATCCCCAACCCTTTTTATTTTTATTTTGGGGTCTCACTAAGTTGCTGAGGCCAGCCTCTAACTTGTGGTCTTCCTGCCTCAGCCTCCCAAATCACTGAGATTATAGGCATGCCCCATTGTACCAGATTAATTAATGTTTTAAAGTAATTCTCTTTCCTTTCCTTTGCCCTCATTATTGTGTGTAATCTGTGCCCAACTTTATTGTTTGATTCAGGGGTTGGCAACCTTTTTGTGTAAAGATTTTATGCTTTCAATCCCTGTTGTGGGGACTCCACTCTGCTGCCATAGAGTCCCTAACAAATGAGCCTGGCCGGGGCTGTGGCACACACTGAACTGGGAACTTGATGTAATCTTTACATATGAAACATTCTGTTGATTTTTTTTTCACTCATTTAAAAAAGTTAAAACTATTCTTAGCTCAAGGGCCATATGAAAACAGGTAGCAGGCTGGATTCAGCCCACCTGCCGTGGCTCACAGGCCCTAATTTAGTACACAGGTTGCAGAATATCAAAGTGGGACAGGCAGGGCAGGGGACTTTGTGAGGAGTCGTTAGATGGACTCCTTGCACCTTTTAAAATAAAACAATAGACTTGACTTTTTTGCAGAAAAATTGAATGGGAAGGCAGAGTCCCCGCCTGTCCACATTCTGTGCCCTGCCAGGTCCTCTTCCCGCCTCCATCTTGGTTACGGTGGTGCATTTGTTGTCTTGGTAACTCATGTTGATGACGACATCTGGGGCTGTGACAGGTGTGTCATGATGTACCACCAAAGACAGTTTCACTGCTCTCCGGCTTCCGTGTTCTCTGGTCATCCCTCCCTCTCTCCCCTGGGCTCTGGTCACTGCCCATCTTTCTACAGTCTCTGTGGGTCCACAGCGGCATAGACGGAATCCTGCGGTCACTTGCCCTCAGCCAGAGCTGCTCCAAAGCAGGGCTGCCACGCTTCCTGCTGAGGGGACCTGGGAGGCACAGCCAGTGTTGTTTGTGATGCTGGGGATGAACCCTGGACCTTGCATATGCTGGGCAGGTGCTATGCCACCAAGCTACATTCCCAGTCCTACAGTCAGTTGTGTTGTGTTTTTTTTTTTTTTTTTGGGGGGGGTAGTGCCTCACCATTGCTGAGCTGGTTTTGAACTCTCGATCCTCCTGCCTCAGCCTCCCGAGCTGCTGCTGGGATAACAGGTGTGCACCACCCAGCCATGGCCGACAGGTGCTAAAGCAAGAGAGGGACATGGCCAGGTTTGCACTTTAGAATGATGGGACTGGATGAGCAGAGGTTACCGGAGCTACAACTCCCCCGCAGGCTCGGCCCACCTGAAACAGACCCGTGCCCGCTAGCTGGAACTGTGCAGAGAAACCCCCGCAAGAGGACCTGTCCACCCTCTTGTGAGCCTGTTTTCTCGCTCCCTCCCAAGGGGTTTCTCAGAGCCCCTCTTTGGTTTTTCTGGGGTCCCATCACAGACACAGCTGGTAACGGAACAACAGGCGAGGGACTTTGCTTTGGCTGTGGACAGGGGGGACTGTGTGGGCCTCGGTGGTGGGGACTGACCGTCTCTCTGGTGCCCTCATCTGGTCTTTTTTCAGAGCAGCATATTCTCAAAGATCCAGGTGCCTACCTGGTGTGAAGTGAGAAACTGGCCTTCCACCCTGAGGTGGTGGCCGGCAGCTGAGTAGTGTTGGAGCAGGTTGGGGAACAGCCCTGATATTGGCAGAATCTTCAGCACCCCTCATTCTGCTCAAGAATATTCCACGGCTCCCATTTCCCATGACACAAATAAAAAACAGTGCTGGAGAGGTGCTTCCCACAGCAGAGCCGGACCCAGGGTTCACTTGTTTCTCTGGCCTCTCCCTTGCAGGTGAAGAGAGCCATGTCACTTGACATGCTGAGCACGACCCATCCGAGAGCTGCTGGGACTCCAGGTAAGGAGGTGAGAGACACACCTGGGTCATGGATGGATGGGACCACGCTGGTGGCCCCGGGAGAAAGGTGGTGCTTGCATTGGCGCTGCGAGTGATTCATTCATTCATCTGTTCATCTAAGGATGTCTTGGTTGCTTCCAACTTTCGACAATTGTGAATAAAGCTGCTGTTAGTATTTGAATGCATTATTGTGTAGATATGTTTTCAGTTCACTCAGGTGGAGGAGATGCTGTGCAATGCTAAGAGTGTGTTTAACTTAATAAGAAACTGCCAGACTGTCTTCCAAAGCAGCTGTACCATTTGTGTTCCCATCCTGTTTTTCCACATCTTCGCCAGCATTTGGGGTGGTCAGTGTTTTGGATTTTAGCCAAAATCTAAATCCATGTATGGTGTCATCTCATTATTATTTTAATTTGCAGTTAACTAACAACACACATAATGTCGAGCTTTCTTCATATGCTTATTTGCCGTCAGTTGTCTCTTCTTTAGTGTTCATTCATATTTTTGCCCATTTTTAAATTAGGTTGGTCAGTTTCTTGTTGAGTTTTAGAGTTCTGTCAGGCATGGTGGTGCATGCTTGTAATCCCAGTGGCTCAGGAGGCTGAGGCAGGAGGATAGAGGATCATGAGTCAAAGCCAGCCTCAGCAGCTTATCAAGGTGCAAAGCAACTTGGTGAGACCCCGTCTCTAAATAAAATACAAAAAGGGCTGAGGATGTGGCTCAGTGGTCAAGTGCCCCTGTGTTCAATCCCTGGTTCAAAAAAAAAAAGTTTTTTTAATATATTTTGGATATAAATTATTTTTTTTAAAAGAGAGAGAGGGAGAGAGAGAGAGAGAGAGAATTTTTTAATATTTATTTATTTATTTTTAGTTATTGGTGGACACAACATCTTTGTTTGTATGTGGTGCTGAGGACCGAACCTGGGCCGCATGCATGCCAGGCGAGCGTGCTACCACTTGAGCCACATCCCCAGCCCTGATATAAATTCTTTTCAGACATGTGACTTACAAATATTTTTCCCAGTCTGTGGTTTGCCTTTTTGCTCTTATCAATGTCTTTTACAAAGTAGAAATTTGTTTTAATGAAGTCTGACATTAACTTTTCTTTCATGGATTGTGTTATTGGTATTGTATCTGAGAGATTATTGCCAAACCCGTTGCTGAGACTGGTCTCTAGAATCTGTCTCAAGTTCTCTAGAACTTGCCATCTCCTGCCTCAGCCTCCAAAGTAGCTGGGTGATTCCAGGCATGTACCATTGCACCTGGGTCTTGTTTTCTTCTAATAGTTTTACAGTTCTGTGTTTTATATTTAGGTCCATGAATTTTGAGTTAAGTTTGTGAAAGGTGTAAGTTGTGCCTAGATTTGTTTTTCTACATGTCAATGTCCTGTTGTTCCCACGTTGTTGAAGACTTATCTTTGTCCATTGAATTGCTTTTGCTCCTTTGCCAAAGATTAGTTGGTTATTCCTGTGTAGGTTCATTTCTGAGCTTTCTGTTCTGTTCCATTGATCTATTCTTTTTTTAAAAAATATTTTATTAGTTGTTGGTGGGCCTTTATTTATTTATACATGGTGCTGAGAATCGAACCCAGTGCCTCACACGTTAGGCAAGCACTCTACCACTGAGCCACAACCCCAGCCCTCATTGATCTATTCTTTAGAAATAGGACTCTTTTTTTTTTTTTGGCGGTAGTGGGGGTACTGGCAATTGAACTCAGGGGCACTCTACCACTGAGCCACATCCCCAGCCTATTTTGTATTTTATTTAGAGACAGGGCCTCACTGAGTTGCTTAGCACCTCGATGTTGCTGAGGCTGGCTTTGAACTTGTGATTCTCCTGTCTCAGCCCCCTGCGCCCCCCGCCACCCGCCGAGCCACTGGGATTAAAGGTGTGCACCACCATACCTGGCTAACAGAGCTCTGATTGTTATAGATTTTAGGTAAGTTTTGAGGTTGGATAGTATCAGTCCTGACTTCATTCTTTTCCTTCAATATTGGGTTGGCAACTCTATAGATTTTTTTTCTTTCCCTCATTTTTTTTTGGGGGGGTTACTGGGGATTGAACTCAGGGGCACTCAACCTCTGGGCCACATCCCCAGCCCTTTTTTGTATTTTATTTAGAGACAGGGTCTCACTGAGTTTCTTAGCACCTCGCCTTGCTGAGGCTGCCTCAGCCTCCGGAGTTGCTGGGATTACAGGCGTGTGTGCCACTGTGCCTGGCCTGTCTTTCCATAAATTTTAAGATCTGTTTGCTGATGGCCACAAAATAACTTGCCAGGATTTGGATGGAGAACACATCCATTCTATAGTTCAAGTTGGAAAGAATCTTTTAACAGTAAGGAGTTTTCCTATTCATGAACATGAAAAGTCACCCTGTTTATTTAGATATTTGCTTTTTTTTTTTAATCAAAGTTTTTTTTTATATGGATCTTGTACATATTTCACTGGGTTTATAGCTAAATTTGGGGGGGTGCTAATGTGTTTTTGAGTTTAGGAATTTTAATTTCTAATTGTTAATTGCTGGCATATTAGGAAAGCAATTGACTTCTGTATGTTAACCTTATGTCCTGAAAACTTGCTGTAATATTTTATTAATTCTAGGGGGGGGGGTTTCTTTGGCATTTTCTATAAAGATGATTGATTCTGTCATCTTGTTATTTCTTCCTTTCCAATCTATATACTCTCCCCTCCTTTGTTTTTTTTCTTTTTTTTATTGTAGTTTGATGTTGAGTAGGAGTGGAAAGAGAGGATATCCTTACCTGATAACCTTGTTCCTAACCTTGAGTGAAAAGCATCTAGTTTCCCAATATCAAGTATATGTTAGCTGTAGTGAGAGGTTTGTTTTTTATTTTTTATTTGTTTGTGGTGCTGGGGATCGAACTCAGGCCTTTGGGCATGCAAGGGAAGCACTCTACCAATTGAGTCATATCCCCAGCCCTGTTTTTTATTTTTAATCATGAGTGGCTGTTGGATTTCGTTGTTTTTTTGTTTGTTTTCCCCCTTTGGACAGTGTTGGGGAGAGAACCCAGGGATTTGTGCATGCTACGCCAGTGCTTTATCACAGAGCTACAGCCCCAGCCCACACTGACTTGAATGTTTAGCCAGCTTTAATGCCTGGAATAAATCTCACTTGTTCATGATGTATACCTCTTTTATATCATTGGATTGTATCTGCTGACATTTTATTCAAGATTTGTGTATGCATGTTCATCAGAGATATTCATCTGTAGTTTTCCTTTCTTGTGGTGCCTTTGCTAGTTTTGGTACCAGATAATGCCAATCTCATAGTTCCTTAGGAAGAGTCCTCTGCTTCTGTTTACTGGAAGAGATTGTAAAATTGGTGTATTTCTTCCTTATCAAGGGTTTGGAAGAACCCAGTGGACACATCTAGGTCTGGTACTGTTTCAGTTTATTAATTATTGCTTCATCTTATTTAACACTGACACGGGCCTGTTCAGATCATCTATTTCTTCATGTTAGTTTTGGTAAATTGTATCTATCAAAAGAATTTGTCCAGTTCATCTAGTATATCAAGCTTGTGGGGATACAGTTTCTCATACTCTTCCTTTATTACCCTTTCAATGTCCCTGGGATCCATAGTGACGGCCTAACTCATTTCTGATACTAGTAATGTGTCTCCTTCCTCTCCTCTCCTTTTCCTTACCCTAGCTAGAAGATCAATTTTATGGATCATTTTGAAGAATCAGCTTTTGGTTTTCTCTATTGATTTCCTTTTTTCAATTTCATTTATTTCTGCTCTTAATTTTCTTTTCTGCTTCTTACTTTGAATTTGTCCTTTTTGTAGTTTCTCAAAGGAAGCTTAAACTGTTCATTTTTTTGAGTATGTGCATCCAATACTATATATTTTCCTCTATGCTCTGCTTTTGCTGCATTCCACAATTTTGTTAAGTTTTATTTTAGTTCAAAATGTTTAATCTCTTGAGAACCCCCCTTTGAAAGCATGTTGTTTAATTTCCAAGTGTTCTGGAACTTTCCAGTTATCTTTGTTATTTTTGATTTGTGGTTTAATTCCATTGCAATCTGAGGTCATCCTTTGTGTGATTTCTATTCCTTTACATTTGTTAAGGTGCATGGGGTAGAATGGTCTTGATGAATGTTCCATATAAATTGGAGAATGTATTCTGCTGTTCTATGAACTGTTTTATAAACATCAGTGAGACCCAGTTGGTTGATGGCATTATCCAGTTCAAATACATCCTTACTGATTTTCTGCCTGCTGGATCTACTGGTTTCGAATATTGGGTGATTGAAATTACCAATTAATGATGGATCTGTCTTTTTTTTCCCCTTTTCCTTTGAGGCTTTTGCTTTGCTGTAGGTGCATAAACACTAAGGACTTTTTTTTTTTTTTTTTTGGTATTGGGGGTGGAACTGGGGGGGAGAGTGTTTAACCACTGAACCACATCTCCAGCCCTTTTCATTTTCAGACAGGGTTGCTTAAGGGCTTGCTAAATTGCTGGGCTGACCTTGAACTTCCATCCTCCTGTTTCAGCCTCTGGAGAGAGCAGCTGGGATTACAGGCATGTGCCACTGCCCTGACTGCCCTTCTGTCCTTGTACTTAAATGGGTTTTGTAAACAGGATAAAGCTGGGTCTTGCTTTTCAGAACCCACTCTGACAGTCTTATTTATTTATGCCATTGGCATTTAAAGTGATTTTAGTCAACCATGCTGGTGACTGTTTTCTATCTGTGGCGCTTGTTCTTTTTTCCGCCACATGGTGAAAGGTTATGTGTGGAAAAGGCCTGTGTGGAGCTAAGCATCCAGAAAGGGTCATCTCAGGTGGACCTTTGGATTGCTTTTGGCTGCTTCCTGTTTGGGAAATTTCCTACTATGTGTATTTTTGTGGGTATTAATGCTTATTGTTTTCCACTGAAGAAACTAAATGAGCCACTCTCTTTCTTTTTATTCTTTAGCATCCAGTACTGGGATGACCTGGGCTTGAAATGGGTGTTCTTGGGTTAATGGTATTGTCCTGCAGCAATTTAGAACTTTTTATTAAAGAAAAGCAGATAGTAGAGAAATTCTGCTTGACTTTGATCTGGGTTCATTCTTTGTAAATTCAAATGTCACGTCTTCTTGTAAGTATCACAAATAATGTTTTACAAGGGAGAACCAGAGAATCATAGTTTTGTCACTAGCTGTGCTACATCCCCTCTCTGAGCTTTCCTTTATAATTTAAAATGGGCTTATGTAATAAGGTACATTAAAAACACCTAGCTCATAATAGATGTTGGTGGCAAATGAACCAACCTTATGCTTTCTCCTTTTAGTTTCTCAAGGTCTTTGTTTGACTGGACTATGGGGGATCAGGAGGTGCCAAGAATTACTTAACTTTGGCCTCAAATGTTATTATTATCCTTGACTTGATTTTTTTTGTCTAGAGGACCCAGTGCACTGCATTTAACCCTCTAAGGAGCCTGGGAACTACTTCAGTGGTAGAGCACTTGCCTATCATATGTGCAAGGCCCTGGGTTCAATCCCCAGCACTGCAAAACAATACCCCTAGGGGTTTTGTTCAGAAGTCTCTTGGCTTAGACATGAACACCTACTGGTGGTCACCAGTCAGTATCTGGCCCACAGGTTCTCAGTATTTATACGGTCCAAGCTGAAACCCACCTGTCCAGTGCCTGGAATGGTACCCAGCCTACAGAAAGCATTCCGAATGCTGACCTTACATTGGGGTGGCTGGATGGCATGCTGATCACGAAAGTGAAGATTCATAGCAAGTTCAACCCAAAGCACCGAAGAAACAACTCTATGCGAAGAACTCACTGGCGATGCTGATTTTCCAAATGGCTTCTTTGGAATCTGAATCCCAGAACCATAAATTCTGGGAAACTTGTTTTTATTCTGCAGAGCAAGATAAATCCTTGGGAAGTGCTGACCATGGGTTAGCCCAAGGAACAAAACAGCCATGACAAACTTTTTGTTAAGGAAGGAGAAATTAAGTTACCTCAGGAAATGCAATTGTGATTCAAGCACCATGAAATTTTGTCAAGCAAAAATAGTCTTTATTCAAATTTAATGGAAACAGGGGTCACTATACTTTGCAAGACGGGGAAAAATAAAATTAAAAAAAATTCTTTTCTTGTCTTTTTTTTTTTAATATAAAACAATATAATCACAATACCAGAATATGGAACTCTACAGTTTATTTCCTATGGGTTACTGCAGGTATCAATTTTCCTCGACTGTGCTATTCACAACTTTGTTAGGTCCAAAAATATGAAACCAAAATGGTAGGAAACTGAAGACTTAGCACTTTCACTAAATGGCATACATCAAAGGGAGTCAATTCAAGGGCAAAAATGGTTGAACTCACCATACCTACCTATGCCATCATTCCAGCCTTAAAGCCGTCCAGGTGCCGAGCTCCCTGTGGGAAAGGCCAGGCCTGAGAGCCGAGGCATTTTGGATATTCTACTGTGGGCCATGAGGAAAGGGGTTTCAAAGATTTTTTTTTTTTTCAGTCGAGCAGGAAGGCCTGGCGCCAGGAGGCTTTACTGAGAGGAAGCACTTAGATTTAACAATTATAGACACACCATTAGGGGAGTTAAAAATGTACAGCAGTGACGGAGGTTCTACTTCAATCACTTGTGCTACGGCTACCAAACATGTACAAAAGACTTCTTGGGTAGTTCCAGCCGTGGTTGTAGCCAGTTAGGACCTTGAGTGGGACCGCGATCGAGACCGGGAGGGCGACCTGGAAGCAGACCTGGATCGAGACTTGGACTGAGATCGGGTTTTTGAAGCTGACTTTGATCTGGAGCGTGATTCTGATGGCGGGTTTGGTTTCGATTTGGAATTGGATCTTGACCTGGACCGGGTCTCGGGGTTGGGGGCAGCAGCTTCACCCTCTCCTCTGCCTTCCCTCTGGGCAGACTCGGCCTTGGCATGTTCCCGCTCCTTTGACACGGAGCGAGACGGCGACCTGGACTGCGAACGGTCCTCTTCCTTTTTCTTTTTCTTGCTGCTGCTGCCGCCTGACTTGCTGTCGCGCTTGCTGCTGCGCTTCCTGCTCCGCTCGCTCTTGCTGCGGCTGCGGCTGCGGCTGCGGCTCTCCTCTCTGCTTCTCTTCCTGCCCTTCCTCTTGTCTTTGCTTTTGCTGCGGCTCCGGCTGCGGCTGCCCCCTTTGCTCCTGCTCCTGCTGTGGCTCCGGCTCTTGAGGAGGTTCTTCTCCTGGCTCCGGCCCTTCTCCTGGCTGCGGCTCCGGCTCCCGCGCTTTTCCTCCTCTACCCTCCGCTCCTGGCTGCGGCTCCTGCTTTTGCTCTTACTTTTATGGCGGCTGGGACTCCGGCTCTTGGGTTTCCCGGTGCTGTCGCTGTTCTGGACTTTGTCTTCGGCGTGGTCTTTGCTCTTGCTGCGGCTCTTGTCCGCGCTGCGGCTGCGGCTGCGGCTCTTGTCATCCTTGCTGGGGCTCCTGCTTTTCTCCTTCTTGCTGCGGCTGCGGCTCTGGCTGCGGCTCCGGCTCTTGCTCCGGGAGTGGGAGCCTGACCTGAGGAGACACGGGGTGATGTCACTCCTCATGGAATCAGGAGAGGAACAGATCCGGGGCTCTGCAGAGCTCACCCCCAATATAAGAGCTAGCTGCCCCGGCCGAGGACGGTCTTCGGGACCCCCACAATTCTAACGTGGACCTGGAAAAGCCAGGCTGAGGGGGAAGGGCCACTCAGCTAAAACCCAAGGGAGACACTGTGCAGTGCTCCCTGCTGACACCCGTGTGCCCCAGGCAGACCCACCTGGACCGGGATCGGCTCTTAGAATGACTGCTTTTGCTACTGCCACTTCGGCTTCTGCTCTTCCGGGAATGTCTGCTCCGAGAGCGAGACCTGTGGGGAGAAAATAAAATTGCTGATGAAGGGCTGATTTAGATTCAACCAAGACATTCTTTCAGTCGTCTGGGCACACTCACCCTGTGGTCTAGGCCCACAGGCCCAGTCCCCTGCAAACACTGAAGCTTGTCCCACCTCTGACCCGGAGCCCACAGCTCCCCCACCTTTGCTGGGTTCTTTATCTCCACCAACACTACTGTGATTTACCCAGTTCCTCACACCAGAGGCCTCAGTGAGCCCTGACCCCAACCCTCACACCCTGATGTCTTGCCTCCTCCACCTTCTGCCATCTACCTGTGGCCTGTGTGCATCACCCTTCCCTGTCACCATGAGGGCCTCCCATGTGCCTTTCTGCAAATGCTTCTGCCCTTCACCTGCCCCTCTCTTCCTCACTGTGACTTATTTATTTGTTTATTTATTTATATGGTTCTGGAGATTGAACCCAGTGGTGCTTAACTACCGGGCCACATCTCATCCTTAGCCCTTTTTATTTTTAAACAGGGACTTGCTAAGTTGCTGAGGCTGTCTTTGGACTTACAATCCTCCTGCCTTAGCCTCCTAACCTGCTGGGATTACAGGCACGTGCCACTGTGCTCGGCCACAGAGCACTTGTAAAAAGACAGACTCTCCAAAAGCTTTAGAAAACCTTTAGCAAGTCCAGACTGTGGACTTTCACTATCCCTACTGACGGTGACCAGTGTTCCTTAGGGAAATGACTGATCCCAGGTGCAGGGCAGGAAGTGCACAAGATGGGCCTAAAACGTCTCACTGTGACAGGCAGGAAAGTGTTCAGAGCCTCCTGGGCACCATTACCTATGAAGGACTTTTGCTAAAAATGTCTTAAGTTGTATCTTCCTCCAGCCTCTATAGAGCTCCTTCTCAGCTTATAGGAAGTCCAGGGAAGAAGCTCTTAGTACCACGACACCAAGAAGAAACAGATCAATCCAGAATGTGGGATAGTATTAAAAAGCTTAAAAATAAAAGGAAAGGGGCCAGGGTTGTGGCTCAGTGGCAGAGCACTTGCCTACCATCTGTGAGGCACTGGGTTCAATCAAATAAATAGACAACTTTACTTTATTTGTAAAATAAATACATATCCCCTGCAACACAAAACAAAGTCTGTTCCAGGGTTAGGGGAAAAAAAAAAAAAACAAAAACAAACAAAAAAAACGGTGGGGAGGATTATTGGGGGAAAAGTGGTAGGTCTGTTCCAGGGTAAAAAGATTTAACCCTTTGTAATATGTGACTGCATTGAATCCTGGTCAGGATAACAAAACATCCATGGAGCAACTAGGGAGGCATGAATATGATTTTGATATTAGGTGACTGATGAAATTACACACTGTTCATGTTTTTAGCCAAGAAACTAGAACTGTGGTTCATCATCTTTAGAGACAAATGTATGGGGTAAAGTGCTATAATTTCTGCACTTTTTCAAATGTAAAATGTATACTGTGTATAAAAATACATATACAAGCTGAGTGTGGTGGCATATACCTGCAATCCTAGCAGCTCAGGAAGCTGAGACAAGAGGATTGCCAAGTTCAATGCCAGCCTCAGCATTGGTGAGGTGCTAAGTAACTCAGTGAGATCCTGTCTCTATATAAATTATAAAACAGGGCTAGGGACATGGCTCAATGGTTGAATGCCCCTGAGTTCAATCCCTGGTACCAAAAAACCCCCAAAAACATATATAAGCATGTATATGGGGGGAGGAGAGAGAAAGGAAACAAGGCAAAAATACTGTTAAAGCCAGAAGGAGGGGCATACAGGTATTTGTAAACTAGTCTTTTATGTCAGAATAAAGTTTTGCAGGAGCCCGGCACAGTGGCACATGCCTATAATCCCAGAGGAGGAGGATCATGAGTTCAAAACCAGCCTTAGCAATAGCGAGGCACTAAGCAACCTGGTGAGACCCTGTTTCCAAATAAAACACAAAATAGAGCTGGGGATATGGCTCAGAGCCCCTGAGTTCAATCTCTGGCACCCCTGCCCTGCAAAAAAGGTATGGGGAAATAATAAAGTGCATAAAAATCAAACAAGACATGGATGACTGAAGACACAGGAATCAACCTGAAGGATTCCACTGGCTATAGACAGAACAATCTGAGGATTAAAATATTATGATGCAAAGATGAAACATCAAACACACGTGTAAGAACTCATTCCTAATGATTCTAAGTGATTACCCTCATCAATTTTGGAAGCTGCTAGGTGACACTAACGTTCCACAAGTTGGTGAAGTTAGGATGGCTCAGGATGACAATTCCTGAGCACTCTGAGCCATCACTCAAAGTAGGATGTAAAAATAGATCCCATAAACTGTATGACAGGGAGTATACACAAAGTGTTACCAAGAAAGTGGTCCTGCTAAAATATGTCCTTTCTCTAAAGCCTCGATATAATTTTAGCTGGGCATGGTGGTATACAACTAAGATTCTAGCCTGCTCAGGAGGCTGAGGTTGGAGAACCTCAAGTTTGAGGTCAGCCCCACAGCCCCAGCAACTTAACAAGGTTAAAAAGGACCATAGATATAGCCCAGTGGTACAACACCACTGGGTTCAATCCCCGGCACCACAAAACAAAACAAAAGGATTCATTTATCCAACTATGAGTTCACAGGAAATGGCGGGCCAGTGGGGTGGGGGGGCACGTGGGCGGAGAGAACTTGATGGGATTAAGGGCTGTCTAGACTTGCCTTAAAACAACAGATTAGGAGTAGGTGAGGTGAGATTGGTAAAATAACAATTATTGAAGCTGGGAATGGTAGTGGGAGTCAAAGTTCATTAAATAATTTTTCTCTAATGTTTTATATATTTGAAAAATTTTCCATAACAAAGTTTAAAAATAACAAAATCCAAATATCATGCAAGTCTCCAGTGATACTGGACTCTTACATCCTAAACCTGGCTGTTCAGCGTGATCTGATCCCTCTCCCCCCTTGTCCCAAGGCACACCCACCTGTTCACTACTCATATTAGTCTTTCTGCCCTGGGAGAAATGCTGTCCCACCCCAGGACTTCAAGAACACCCTTACTTCTGCTAGAACAACCCTCTTCTCCCCCACCACATCTACCCACTGTCTCTAATCCATCTTTTCGGATCAGCTTCTGTAACATGTCCTTAGGGAAGCCTCAGCCAACTCTCCAGATTGGCGTGCTATATTTCCTTCAAAAAACCCGTCTCAATGGCAATTATTTGCTTAATTTCTGTCTTCTCTCCAGGGCAGAGATCAGATTTGTTTTTCTCACCACTGTCTCCCAGATCCTTA